GCGTAATCACAAAATATCAATGCATCACCAACTTAAGTGCTATGATTGGTAGCCGCTGAGCGCTTAGAGTTGTATTAAGAGAATCGTTTGTTATCTATCAGATGAAAGCTTAAGATTGTGTGTGTGTAGATTCAAGCTAGGGGACATACATCTAATTGTCCTTGTAAATACTTATTATCTTTGAATAAAGAGTTATATATTCAGTCGTTCGATTCCACTCGTGAGCTTCTAGGTAGTCATGTTTGGATAGACATGCTCAGATATTCATCTCTTGATACATTTATATCTGAGATTCGTGTTTTAGATGAGCACATCTAGATACACATCTAGATACACATATTTAGACACCTAGCTTCGATTCACCTGTATCCAGATATTTTCGATGTTGTAGGTCAAGTAAAAGGTATCATTTAGCACAAGCACTTCAGCCTCTCCTTGGCTTACCAGCGGTATAAGCACTTGATGTTCCTCATACTTTGTGCCGAGCCAGTTTCTACAAATCATCTAAAGCCAAACGGAATAGGCTGATATCAACTCAATCGTAAAAGATGACAATGTCAAGACCAATATCTAAAGTATAATAAGGGCATTCGATAAAGATCGGTCATCATGCGCAAAGCTGTTTCTCGGATGCCCTCGCGAAGATCATTTGTCAGATTCGACATCACAAGTTTTCGGCACATTCTGCGCGAATCCTCAGTGACTGCCAGACATAGTATATACAATAGATCTCCTAATCAGACTCTGATAGGCCGATACTGATATTGAAGATTGGGAGGATTCCATTGTAAACTACACATCACAATTACAGGGGCCTCGGAAGCGCAAGTCACATGAACATTTTCTCATTCGTATTGCATCGATTGGCCCCTTCGATCCTCACTGTAGTCGGCAGATATACCGAATGAAAATCATTAGACAATTTCCAAATGCTCAATACACGGGGTGTTGTTTTCTATCAACTTGGCAATATTAATTTTTGTGTGGATTCTTTTTAAAATTTCTGACGGAATACAGGAATGGATACTACTTCTCCAACATGGTTCCAAGTGCGAACCTAAGAGGCACCCACAATTTTTTCTCGTATTGAGTGGCATTTCTCAAAAGCAGTTTCACTGGCCCATGCTGTCTCCGTACCATTGCAGGAATTCAATCGATCGATCCTAACCAGAAGATCGATCATGTGAGATGTCCAATTAGTTACTTATATTACTAGCGAGCTTGACACGCAGGTCCAGGAGATCTTTGCAATGGTGATAGCTCAGTCAGCTTCACATCCTCCAGTCAGAGCAAGGTCAACACATCAACAAGACCTAAATCACGATTAATTCCAGGCATCTTCCACTCTGTCAACAAATACTGATCAATACTTCATGGAACACCTTCACTTCCCAGCAAGCCCTCCTCCATCAAAGCTCCAAGCCAGATGGAACCTCCAAAATAAGTCCAGCCAATGCAGGAAACCCTCACAATACTTACAGATCTCAATATAGGCCGGTTTGTCTACAATGGACTCATATCCAGACATGAATTAGCGAAAGTGGCCGATTGAAAGAAACAGCTTCAAAAGTTAAGGTAAGGACAGTTGTGTACAATTAGAGTACTTTAGACTTAGGAACCTCACTAGAAATGCGAAACGACGATATCCTTTAATCTGTTTTACAGGTCTTCTTTTCTGATTCAACATACTGTCTTTACCCTACATGGTCAATCATTTCTTGGTAGAAGCGAGGAGCGAAAGATAGGTACCTACCTATCCGTAAGCGAATTGTTTTTAGGCGAGGGATAGCAGATCAGTGAATGAATATAAACAGAATGATAATCCTGGGATGCCTCTCCTTCTAGCTGAGAGTGTGAGGAGATTTGCAATATCTAATGGAGCTGGCCCAGTGTTGCATATGCGAGTTATGTTACTGATTGTTAAGGTGTATGTTCATCGGCGCTGGATGATCGTCACATGACTTCCCCAGCCATCTCAGGGCTGATCCATAAACCTTCCCGTCTGAAGCACCATAATATCACAAACTATGACATTTGGTCCATGATTTAATCATGTTGGGGGTATGTTCATGGGGGGGTCTTTGATACATCAAACATCAAGTCAGCGTGAAGGCTTTGAATTACTCTTGAATTTGTTGGAACCGATGAGTTTGCATTCCGGGAGCACCAAAAAAGGACAATATGATACGCATTGAAAGAATAAATATGCTATGATGGGATGGGATAGTCTAGAGTAATATAGGATGTATGGAGTCAGGAAGTCAGAGATCCGACTTCATTCACAAAACAACACAAGAGCAACTTTCCGAACAAAGTAATAACTATTCACAAATCAAGAACTAAACTATATACAATCATGGTACTCATAACTGGTAGCATATTTTCAAGGGAGGCCAGCACGAAAATCGTGCGACACCAAAACCCCAAACCAAAAGGTCCTTCAGCTGAGAAAGAAATAAGAAGAGAATAGAACCAACAAAAAGCATAGCAAAGCAAAGCGCATCGACGCAGAAATCCTAGAGTGTTCGTATATTGCCTCACCAATCCTCATCTCCCGTATCAAAAAAATCCATATCAACTTTGCATGGATTAAAGTTCACCCGCTGCCCCCACGATGCGAGGACTCATCATCGCGCTGCCTCTCTGTAGCCCTCCACCACCCACGATCTACAAGCCTCGCACCTCAAAACCCTTCATTTTCAGAAGGAAATTTAAATTCCGGAGTCATCTTGTGGAAAAGGTTCAGTGGGGGTCCAAGCATTCCAAGCTGCACATGTGTCTTGGAAAGTGGAAACATCAGCTGTTCCAATTGTCGGTAAAATTTTACTCTCGCTCTCAACAAATTGTAAAGCTAGACCCTCAGATGCGTGCCATGCGATATGGCAGTGCATGAGCCAAGAACCGGGGTTATCGATCTGGAAAGCGATGACAAGATGTCCGCCGCTGGGAAGTGTCATCACGTCACGACGGGGTGGGTTCACGAGATTTAGTGCGGTGGTAGCAGTATAGGCTCCGGTACCTTGGGAGAGAGTCCAGAAATCGTGACCGTGGAGATGGATAGGGTGATTAGGACTAGAAGGTAGATTATCAGTATGGTTTACAATAAAAGTATCGGTGGATAGGGGTAGAAAGCTTACCCAGTGGGTCCTGAGATGGCGAGAACGGCCCATCCCTTGTTCGCCGTAGTGGACTCAACAGGAATAACATTGTAGTCTGTTGGCCAAATGTTTCCACTGTTCAAGACAGTGAGAAGAGTGGGGTCGGTCCAGTTAAGAAGTAAAGAACTTCCATTGAATAGCCACTGACCACCAGCGGTGGTCAACGTTGTCTTCATGATAGAGCTGGCAACTGGATTGATTGGTACAAATGGAACAAGGTTTGTCAATGGTTCATCCAAACAACTCGTACTTGCCGTTATAGTAGAGATAGTCGTTGGATCAGCAGTAGAGCTAGAACCAGTATATCTAAGGATACCGGTAATATTGGCAGCGTTGGTGTTACCAGAACATGTTGTTTGCCATCCTGCTCTGATCCAGTAGTTGCCGACCGCAGCATTGGCTGTAACAATGATATCGTAACGTTGAGCAATGCTTACTAGAATACTTGTAGCGTTGTATGGAACAATCGGTACAAAGTCCATTGCTATGACTTGGAAGCTGTGACCATCAATAGAAAATTGGAAATGGCCGTCGACAGCTGTGTTGACCACTCTGATGCGGTACTTCAAGCCTGGTGTGAAAGTAGTTTGGAACTTTTTACCAGCTCCATTATATGTGTTGGTACCGTTCATAAGACCAGTCAAGAGTGTTGGTGGTGCTCCAGTCTTGGCTTTGTCCCAGAGTGATTGAACAGGTACGTGATTCCAGTCATTCAAGAACAACATGCCAAGATCAACATCGTAGTTGGCGGTTGCAGGGCCGTTAATAACGAGTGGGCCGAAGAGTCCATCACCATATTGGAGAATAAAATGGGAGTGATACCAGGAGCTACCATAATTGTCCGCGTGAAACTTGTATGTGAGAGTATCTCCAGGAGCAATGGGGCATTGTGTAATACCTGTGGAGAATGTTAGTTCATGATATAGAATGGTGCATGGTCAGTTTTACCTGGAACACCGTCGTACTGAGCGTTGTTCAACTGTCTGATACCATGCCAGTGAATAGATGTTCCGTTGTTGGTGAGTTTATTCGTAACGTGGACGATAACATCATCACCCCAGTCTGCCGTGATTTGAGGTCCCGGAATTGTACCATTGAAGTTAAGAGTCGGGCGAGAAACTCCATCAGCACTGAGAGTTGTGTTCTGGACGACCAGCCAGTACTACACATTACAGTGAGCTTTGATGATTGAGAAAAAAGGTTCAAATGGTCATCTTACCTCTCTAGTTACACCTGTCTGTGGGACAGTAGTGTAAGAATTTGTGGATGCCGAATACTGTCCCCAACAACTCCTGGTTGTTGCAGTATTTGCGCAGCTTTGACGTTCTTCAAGAGCGGATGGGATAACTTCTGCTGTTGGCAATGCCAAAGCTAAAGAAAGTGAGGCAAATTTTGCCAATGAACTAAAGAAAGAATTCTTCATGATGAATTTAAGGGGGGTTCGACAAGACCCGGGAGAAGAGAGAATGAGCTGGTTGATTTGGAAACTGAAGACAACGCCATCATTCACACTCTTTATATAGTCGATTAGATGCTACTTGTCTGCTGAGATATCACCGATAACACAACCAATGTCCTTTTCTTTCCTTGTGAAGATGAGTTGAACCTCGGATACCACGACGATATCCTCATCTTTCGTCTCCATATCTGCACTTCGAAGGGAGAAGGTCGCATCTCGAAATCGCACATGGGGTCGTTCACCCCCTCTCACACAAAGCAAACCCTTTCCTGAGCTCCATTGAGCCAGAACTGAATAGTATTCAGTAGGTGGTATTTTCAATAATGCAGTGAGAAGGCTTGAGGTGTGCATTGTGAAATATTGATTCATTTACACCTGATTAGAAACCCTTGGTGTCGATAACATTGAAGCTACCTGATGCTTGTGATATCTTCCAGAACGGATATCAAAATGTGATTTTTCTAAGTAGTGGCGCTAACAGGCGTACAACGATGCGAGCTGCATATTTTCGTTAGTATGAAGTTCCATCTTAGGTTGCACTTCTCGGGGAATTTGGGCTGCAATACGGAAGGTAAGTTTTCGCTCATGTAAGCGCGGTTGGCTCAAACTTTATTGATGAAAAACCGGTAATTTCACTTGTCATCAAGAGCTTTCAGTATCGTCTTCTCAGAAAGCGAAACCTCAGAAAATTTCAGAGAAAATCTCACCTAATTCTATAGTTTACCAACTTGAAGATCTTCACCGTATACGCAATGTCTACGCAACATCTACGCAATGCTGTTTGGAGATATGCCAGCACAAGTGAATTTCCAAGGTTCTCGAGAAAAGATGTTGATAGCCATGTAGATGCAGAGCTTAATTCGTGTCAGCGCAAGGGGTAACGAGAGGGGCTACCGATATCACATCGGAAAACGCCATACATCTATTCCCGCGGCGCTACGAGCTGCGATTGCAACAATACCTCGTGAACCTATTCTGGTTGGAACAATTAGATCTTTAGATGAATACAAAAATAAGCATCCACAGGGACCTGCTTCATGTGTGCCTATGCCGGTCAAACTTTGGCTGATTCGTGCGTTTATATGGTTTAAGCAATGTGCATTGCACCGTGTTCAAAGCTTATGTCGCAGGAAGCGTAAACTTGTCACTTGAAGCAATTTTGGCTGGTTTGGCGATAAACTTCCTTCCCAATACTTATTAGCCAGCGCCAAGAGACCTGGGAGGAAGTTCACGATGCAGCTACAGAGTCAACTTTAACTTTTGTGATAGACTTCACAGACCCGTTCACCCATGCCAAGCATAAAACCGTTCTCATGCTACGAGAAGTTAACTCTGCATCGGGCAGTTTGATGCTTCGGGGCATTGTAACGAAAAGGCTGACGACGACTCTCTATCTGGTGGAGGGGTGAGACTGATAATGTGCATGTCACGTTCTCATCGACCCCCGCATAATATGACAATATACATCGTTGTGATAAGATGGACAGGGCAATCTTGATACTGGATCTCACGCGTGGGGCTTAGTGCCAATACTTCCTCTGATATTCACCTTTGAAAGCTATCGAAAATATAAGCATTGTTTTCCCGGATGTGCAGAGAGAGGCGCCCCCTTTGACAGGAGAAGAACATGGGTTCTAAGAAAAGATTGTTGATGTAGGGCCGTTGAATATTCATCGGCCAGCAAATTCTTCATGCATGAATTTCTTTGCCAATCAAACGCCATGATGAATTCTTTCATTTCCTCTTGGTCAAAATTCACGTATGTTGTGAGTCGAAAGAAGGCCACTGTTCTCCACATAGGAAACTCGCGAAAGTATGCTTCCTAGAATGTTGTGAGCATCGCTAATTCAGCATTAAAATAACTTGACAGGTTTGATCAATCTTACTACGATTTCGATCCATAGCTAGGATTCTTCGGATCAGTCCCGTGTCAATGCAACCGCCACCTTCCATCCCGGGTATAGAATTCCTTGCGAGGTAACCTTGAATACGTACCCCATACACATTTTTAATATGATTATATTGTCGAAAAGATACACATATGTTCATAGGTTATCCACAATTTGAGTAAAACTAGGGATGTAAAGATAGAAAATGCAACAGGTTCACTAGCATACCAAGTCTTTTGGAGAGGGGATGGGGCTCACATTATCGTGAGAATAAGGATTAATAGATCAAATAACCCATGCATTGAGAAGATGGATGGTTTGTGCGACCGTGCCCAAAGAAGGTAAAGTTGTCGCGACCCATATTTCGGGGTTTAAGGTTGAGTCGCTTTCCATGCACGATGCAGATGTGCGGGCAGTAAGATGCGATAGTGAAAAGTGAGGTTGAATTCTTTGGAGACAGGCACATAAAGATGCGGAAAGGATTGAAGGGGGAGATTTAGCATCTGTGAGCCGAATTTGGATGGAATTTTCAGTGTCAGACGGCAGCGAGGAGCTGACCTGCGAAATACCCATAGATGCAGCCCACTTCTTGGTGATGAATCTACAATATAACAAATGATGCTTCGAAGGACGTAGTGAATACTGCATACCCGACAAGGTAACGAGATAACTGCAAATGCCCTTTATCCAAAATATGGAAGAACGGTGTGGCACTCGCCAAGTAACAGTGATGGGTAGTACTTTGTGTACCCCAAGGACCCTTTGATGTGTCGAAAGCTGCAAAAGTATGGGCGTGCAGAATGCCAAGAGAATAATGATAAGATCGGAGATTGACAGAGAAACTTCCCCCGGTCGCATCCCACACCATACCTCAGAGTATTTGGAGCAGGAGAGGTGGAAGATCATTGATGGAATAATGTATTGGGAGCCGAATTGAAGATAGCCAAAGACTGAAGTGGTTCTGGACAGGCAAAAAACGATCACTAGTATACACCCACGATAGCCATGCCATGTAATAGTGACTAGAATGGCGAGGTATCAATGCAAGTAGTAGATATAGGGAAAAGGGACAAACGAAAAGAAGCAAAGGGAGAGTTGAAGAGAAAGAAAGAAAGAAAGAAAGAAAGAAGAAGATACATACGATACGCATACGCACGATATGTCTACTTTGGTAGTCAGTAAACACCTAATTGAGTATCCAGACACTCGCTACTCGTGTCCGTATCAGAGGGTCGTTGGCGAGGTTACAGTGGGTGTGCATTTGTCGAGCTCAGACATCTACAGGTAGTCAGACGCAAAAACATTTCCATGCGCAAATATACCTACCTACATATTCTTGAGATGCTCTACAAAGTCGACTTTCAATATGATGGACAATCATTTGAGGTATGTAAACATGGCTTTCTTCTTTATATCCATTCATGTCGAGTCGATGTGCCACGGGAATACAACGGGTTTGAGTATTCTCTCGGCGGCCCCTCATGGTCTGTAAGTTCATCGTATCACAGCTGATTAGTGACATCGACTTTACCTCATTATATCGAATTGTTCTCGATGAAGACTTTCGCATCGCAAAGACTTCCATTCTTTACACCTTAAGATGGGACTGCAGGTTCTCTTGTAGTACGAGAAATCGAACTTGCTCAATTTGTCTCACTTGGCACGCTATTCTAATGATACTGTAACAGATGAGGCGATATCGCGGCAGAAAGATTAGCCCATTGATTCCTCGATAGTCTTACACCGGCTGTGCATCAATTTCGACGATCAATACCCTCGAAAGGCAAGTCGACGGATGATTATAACGGCTTTTATATCTTGTTATTGGTGTCACATCTCGAACAAAGTTTCGCATTGCCACAATTTCGACCAAATCTATATGAAGCCGAACGAAGCTACCGAACTCATCACGAATACCATGATTAGCTTGTTACTCAAGTGTTTAACATGGTATTCTACCTGCAAATAGTGCGACTTACAGCTTACGCGCCAGTCGCTAAAAAGTAGCGCAAGCAATGTCGCCATTTTATGATTCCAGCGGATTTCAACTGGTTGAAGGAGCCCAAGCATTTGAAGACCTACCTTACTCCACCTCCATCGAAACCAGCTTACCAATTTCTTGTTGACTACTAATCTGGTGCGGGCGAGGCAACATCATATCTTGCGCGCTTTCTAGTGCAATTGATTGTATGCTTCTCGGCATTGTTCAAGCAACCACACAATCCGCAGAAATCCGAACTTTGAACATCAAGCTACATGGAATAAATGATTGTAATTCTACGGCTGTAATTCTACGGCTTAAAAAAGCAATTCTTCACCATTCGAAGTCGAATGGAAAGTGTAAATCGTACCCTGGAACTACAGCAATTTACAGTGGTTTAGAATATTCAAGGCGTCTGATTTGCTCTGCCGCATGGCATAGCACAGCACTGTATCTTTCAATCTAAATATAAAACCGGCTGTCAAAATCCCAGCAATTAGTAACACGTTGTGATGATTTCTTCAATTGAGCGTCCATAGAGGATTATGCTTTTTCCATTCGATGAGAATTAACCTTACTTTAATCCCATTTTTGGATATTATATCGTATGAGTATTTGCGCGAAGGATCATTTACCGCCGGACATGACCCATTGTCCAGTCTAAAGTCCTTCTGAACATGAATTACATGGCAATAACAGAGTGCGAAGAAATGCGTTTGGCAATGATGAGGAAATGTCAAGTGGTAGTTTAGAGAGAGGAAATAATTTGGTCACATATTAGGCCATCAAGGGAGTCCTTCCTGTTCGCCAAGCTCGTTCAAGTCTACTGCGATGAAGGTATAAGTCGGGCATTGTTCCACAACTTGTAGGTGAATAAAAATCAACCTATACTGATTGGATTTTTATCTCTTAGTCTAGTCACTTCGAGGTCATTGCTCGTCAGACTACCGTCACAGAAGCCTGTCTTCTGCTTCCACAATTGCATAAACTTACTCCACCCTTCTCAAAATGAAATTCCAAACACAACTCCTCATAGTTCTCCCACTTCTTGTCCTTCCCACCAACGCTTGTCTTACCGTACTTTCCGAATGGTTGATCGAAGGCTGGCAAGGTATCGTTATGGACAATTCCTGGCCTCGATGCTATAATCAATGGGTTCCCTCCGACGTCGTGCCCGATGCAACTACAGGGATGAATTTTACTCTCACAGGCTGCGATGATGGCTACAGCGCAACAATATTCATCAAAACTGGACCAAATGCTCAATCCAAGCTGATTGAATATAAGACACCTTATAAAACGTTTGGTCCTTATGATATGGGTGCAACTGAAGATCCATATACAGCCCAAACGATACAATACAAGTGGATGAGAACTTGGTGTTAGTGGCTTCGCTGACGTGGATTTGCTGTTCGGATCCAGTGTTCATATTCAAAATTTCGGCGATTTGGTCTTTTGTGTTGCTAAATAGATGTTTCGGATACGGTATGACGGTTATGCTGGTCTGAACCTATATCCGGGAGCAATGAGAGTTGCAGCTAGTTTGAAGATTGTGATTGGGAGTCAGATTCTTATGCATAGGTTGTTATTGAGTCTTGCTTTGGTACATATATTCCTTTCATGGAAACAAAGTTGGGCCCGTTGTCCCGTATATCACGGAGACGGATTTTCCATTTCTATCACCATCGTTTTGACATAAAGCAATATCCATGCATAAGTGTTCCGTCGCAAGAATCCCAAAACGTACTCTCCTCATAATTTTCATCACAAATATCTTCTCAAGTTCAGCATAGTCCCTATCCTAATCATTTTGAAGAAACAGGACTTCAATCCTCCTTTTTCCACCCACACTTTCTATTCTCAGTTGTGGATGTGGCGAAACGGTCTCATATAACTTTAAAACACTACTCGACCTCTTCATTATTCGCATACTCTATCAAATCCCATACATTCAGCATTAGCACCTCTTTGATCATTCGTTCATCCCCTAAAAGCTTATATCAAAACAAACTCGCCGATTTACAGACGCCCTCGCATTTTACCCCCATCCCACTGCGCCCTTTACACTTCACAATCAAATCCAAATCCCCTAAGCTCATAGTGTCTTATAGTCTGAACTACTAGATGACCCGAGATGAAATTCGACATCTAAAAACGAAGCAACACTCGGAATGCATTCAGCATTCCAAACTGATCGAATCTTTCAATCGTGTTGCAAATCTGAAGGCATCGGGTGTCAAACTGCACTGCAAAAGTATCGGGACCCTTATCTATGCTTGACGATTTACCGCTGCTAAACCATACGCTCAGAGGAATACAAATCATAATATTCAATTCGTACATACGTATATAACCAGAAAGATATTACAAGCGGCCCAGAGCGAGCTCCCATGTAATACCTACGAGGCTGAGCGGCACCACGGAAGCACCACTATCATACACGCCTCCGTCGGGTCATTATAAGAAAGGATAAAGGTATTGAGTATATAAAAAGCTGGAAGAGGGTGGAATTATAGATGTATTCACATACATTTCTTCACACACACACGGATGATTCCTGGAGTTCAAAGTCTGTGGAAATTTATTGCTTGCATAATGGAGATGGCTATTGAAATGACTTATTAGTAGAAGTTCCACAGATAAACTATATAGAGATGGAGGGGGAGAGAAACGGTAATAGTATAACAAAAGTAAATATTGAAATCTTTGCTTTAAATATCAAGTTTCCATGAATGTCTGTAGTACATTGAACAACAGACAGCCTCCGATCCTTTGCATCCAAAATTCTTGGACCATCAACGGATTATTAGGCAGAGAAGCCCAAACTTGAAACATTGAGATGAGCGTAACTTATATATAGTCAATAAAGAGGCTTCAAAATTCATACATAATGAAAGAATGGGAGTTTATTGTTTGCCACCCGATCACGCCTATGAACCTCTCGACCAATCCCATCCTACAAGCTTCTAGGCTAACCCAGGGCTCGCATCAAAGTTACGCCTCTCATCTTTCGTCAATGTCATATGCTTCGTTATATTTCCCTCACATCGCGTGCCTCATAGCCATACCCCCAGCCCATTTCATCACCGCTTACACAACATCCACAAAAACGACCTCAGTGAACCCACCATCTCCCCAAATACCCACAACACTCATCGCAAAGCCCAACCCAGCAACCACAGTCCTGACGACTTGACTGGCCATGAACCCCTCCATCTCCTCTCTCACTTCTTCCCCATTGACATTATCATCCATTTCCTCCTCACTACTCGCCAACCCCGCACTTTCATAATCTCTCGCGCTCTTGCTCAAGACCTCGTAACTTGCATCCATTTGTCTGGGGCTCATGGGTTTCTTTGATCGTTTCTTCTGTGCAATGCGTCTTGGACCTGTGGAACCTATAGCAAGTGGAATGAGTTTATCAACGATTGAGCTTGAGGCGGCGAAGAGTGAGGTCCAGAGGAGATATGGATGTCTTTGTCCTCGAGGTGAGAAGTAAAAGGCGAGAAGGAAAGACCATGATGATATCCATGTGAGCGCACGAGTATGTGTTGTGGCGAGAGTAGTCAGGGAACTGTAGGAACGAGATGCGAGAGTGGCGGATGGGAGGGTTAGGAAGGCTGGGATCGTGAGAGATGAAAGGGTATAAGAAACGCCCTGTTTTTTAATATTTGTCAGTCTATTAAGTTCACAACGGACTGAGAGGATAGGAGATGAGAGTCGATAATGGAAACGAACAAGCTGTAAAGTCTGGAATGACAAGCTATAGTGGGGTGATGCAAGCAACTTACAGTAAGTAGGCCAAGGGAAATCGATCCCACAAACTTCAAAGTCGAAACAGTCTTTGTAGACATCTTGTCACCTATTAATATCCTTCTCAGATATATTCTTACTGAAGGATTGTTCAATACACAAAGATAGTGTGATGGATATAAACTGGGATCTAAGTTGTTGATTTGGTTAGGTATTTATTTAATCAGCTTAGCGGAAATCGAAGTACCGAACTAATAAGGGAACTCCGCCGTCATTCTCTTCAATGGATCAATGGATCGATTACGATATTATGTAATCACGTCTTGGCTCCCGGAGCTTGTTAATGAATAGCCGGACCGAGGCTTGAAACCCCGGATTTTGTACTTAGGTAGTTCATGTCTTACTTTAGATCAGTAATCCAAGTGACTTAGTTTTTTTCCATTGATGTTGTGTATTTAAGACCTAACTATAAAAACTACGAAATACAAGTATCTATATCATCAATTCCGTTTCGAACTCACAAACACTGCTTTGATCCTCAAGATATAAACGAACATGGCTCTACCTCGATCAGAATATCTCTCCGACGTCTGGCGGAACGGTATATTCGGTATGGACTTCTAACAGATAGCACAGTTTGCTTTATTTGCGCACGCTAATCGTATTTCCTTTAGACAACAAAGTCGTCTTCTGCACTGGCGGAGCAGGTACGATATGTTCCGCTCAAGTGCGCGCAATGGTTCACCTAGGCGCCAACGCGTGTATTATCGGACGCAATCCATCCAAGACTGAATCTATGGCCAAATCCATTTCAACAGCACGTTCCGGATCCAAAGTCATTGGAATCGGCGGTGTGGATGTGAGAAACATAAAGAATTTGGAGAGTGCGGTAGAGACATGTGTGAAGGAATTAGGGGGCATTGATTTCGTTATGTACGATTGCTCAACCCATTTCCCTTTCTCTTACTTATATCAATGACGTGTTCTAACATATCTTTTCAACAGCGCCGGAGCAGCAGGAAACTTCATTTCACCCCTCGAAGGTCTCTCCTCAAACGCTTTCCGAACTGTCCTTGAAATCGACACTCTCGGCTCCTTCAATACCCTCAAAGCTACTCTCCCACACCTTATGAAATCCGCCTCTGCCCATCCAAATACAGCTTCTAACCCCAACACCGGCGGCCGCATAATTTTTATCTCCGCCACGTTCCATTTCACAGGAATGGCACTTCAGGGGCACGCAGCAGCAGCAAAAGCAGGCGTCGACGCTATTTCTGCAACGGCCGCATTGGAATACGGTCCTAGGGGAATAACTAGCAATGTGATCACTCCAGGACCCATAGAAGGAACGGAGGGAATGGCAAGGTTGGGCGATAAGGAGAGCGAAGCTAGCGGGGATGCGCAAAGAAGAAATCCGTTGGGGAGATATGGCACAGTAAAGGAAATTGCAGACGGAACTGTGTACTTGTTCAGCGATGCAGGCAGCTTTGTCAATGGTGAAGTTTTGGTTATTGACGGAGGAAATTGTACGTTTTATTATTTCCTAATGCTTCATTCCCCCCACCCAGTTCATTCACCCTCGCTAAGTTGTTCATACTAACCGAGTCCAAATAGGGAGGCACCCGGGAGGAATGGCCGGAGCAAAGAGATATCCCGATTATTTACTAGACGATACATTCGTACGAAGAAAGGAGTCAAAGTTGTGATTACCAGGTCACAGTACACGCTGCACTCTGTGGTGAGTTGCTATATTGGGGTTAAGACATGTAATGCGATAGACATTTTGTATTCTGGCCGAATTTGGGTCTTTATTTGGCGATCCTCGTCTAACTACTGGGTTTCGATGTTTGTTCTACCTTCTTCATGATCGTAACATCGTTGTGGCATCTCATCATCCACTTATGCATAGCTTCCTTGATCTTTTCCGCCACATCATAAATACCTAAGCACGCGGCCGCATCTTTCCTTCCCCTTTCATTCACTGCGTCATACGTAATCCCCGAGCCACACCCAAACTTTGGAGACGTATTTTCCGGATTTTATTCTCCACCATCACACGTACCCACCATCGACGAGTGTTGATGAAGTGTTAATAAAAGACCTACCAATAGATGCCTCTCAGCATGTTCCAACACCAAAGCGCAATTGGATCCTCAGCATCTTTCAAGTCCCGAATCCAGTCCAACATTAGCCTCACACTTTCGTCAATCTCTGCATGGTACCGCTCCCCACACATGTTATCACAAATATCCTTCAGCATCATGTTGCTTTTCGAGAGATGCACGATGATTAAGATGCTAAGGAATATCTGAGACCAGGTGAAGAGGTAGGGTATTAGACGTTTGCAACGGGATGGGGGTGAGAGGAGAATGGGCCATAGGAGACAGGACTAGTGGGTATCGTTAATATGGGCGAAGCGAAGATAAAGGTAGCAGTAAAAGGGAAAGGAAGAAAGATGAAAGTAGAGATAACATACTCGTAGACATTCCGCGACATTTTGGGCATCCTCGGGCGTCACCAATTCCGGAGAATGTAATACCTTATACACAAAAGGTCGATAAACCATGTATTTGGCGTAATAGTATCTAGTTCTAATTGTCGCAACTTGTATGTCATATGCATAAGGATACCTG